TCCTTCCTTCCTTCCTTCCTTCCTGTTTCTGTCTCCTATCATTCTTTCCTCTGTCCTCCATTTCCCTTTCTTTCTCACTTTTCTCTTTCTCTTTCTCTTTCTTTTTCCCTTTCCCTTCCTTCCTTCCTTCCTTCCTTCCTTCCTTCCTTCCTTCCTTCCTTCCTTCCTTCCTTCCCTTCCCTTCCCTTCCCTTCCCTTCCCTTCCCTTCCCTTCCCTCCCTCCCTTTGGTTAGAATGCAGAATTGCAAACAAACTCTGCCCACAGCCAGTAGTTTGATCCTGACTGATTCGGCCTTCTGAGGTTGGTAAAATGAGGACCCAATCTCCAGGTTATCACCGGTAGGTTCACCCAACTGGGCTAAACCTGGTTCCTGATTTCTAAGGTCACAAACCACCATAACACAGAGGCGCACAATGCTAATCAAACAGGATTTGCACATGTGAAACTGCCCCAAACCAATTGACTTCAAAGCTCATTGTCCAATCCCTTCTTTAAAAACCTCCAGTGATGGAGCACTGGCAACTTCTGGTGGCAAGCAGTTCCACCGGCTAATTGTTCTCACTGTGGGAAATCCCTCCTTAGTTCTAGGTCGCTTCTCTCCTCGATTAGTTTCCATCCATTTGTTTCTTGAGGCAGACAGAAATTTTGAAAAAAACATTATTTTCTATCGTTGTTGTTGTTTTTTCCTCCACCCCACCATGTAAGTCTCATTCACACAACCCCTTGACCCAATCACTGAAAGATTGGGGCAGTGGAATGTAGCCTGAATGCTGTTATAATGGATGGAAATAATGGATGGAGACTGAACAAGGAGAGATTCAACCTGGAGATAAGGAGAAACTTTCTGACAGGGAGAACAATCAACCCATGGAACAAAAGTTGCCTTCAGACATTGTGGGAGCTTCATCCCTGGAGGCTTTTAAGAAGGGACTGGATAGCCATCTGTCAGAAATGGTGTAGGGTCTCCTGCTTGGCCATGGGGTTGGACTAGATGACCTACAAGGACCCTTCCAACTCTGTTCATCTGTTTCTGTGTCTGTTTTTCACTGGTTTGGGGGGCGGCGGCTGTGTTTTACCTTTGCAGTGCTGAGTTTCGGCGTCCCACTGATAGCCGTCGGTGCATTCCTACGACGGGGAGAAATGGAAAGAAACTGGTCAGATTCTGGATTGCAGCCATTTTTAATCCTTTATAAAAGCCATTTTTAATTCTAAATAAATGACTAGAAGACGCACCCTCTGCATATGCTCAGAGTTCCCTTTACTTAACTCCTCGACTGTACAACCAGAATTGGGGCCAAGCAAAGTGGCTGCTCAATGAATTAGGCCACCTTTTTTCCCCCCCAATAAATTTTTATTATTTTCCACCAGTACAAATCTTAATTACTTTTTCAACAACATTGACATCCACGTATAATATTGTCTTATACTTTAACATCTATTCGTACCTATCTTAGTCTACATTATCTTTGTCATTAATCCTCAATACATATTGCCTTTATATTATAGTTATTATTATACATCTTTAATATTGTCTTATTCTTTTAACATCTATTCATACCTATCTTTAATACGTATATTACACTGATTATTATAAATCTTTGATCCTTCTGTCTATCCTATTATATCTTGTGTATCACTTTCTTGAGAATTCTTATTTAATCATCTTTTCTAATTATCTCTCTTTTTCTAGCCACATGTACCATCTATGCCACCTTTGAATCGTGTCACCTTTTAATGAGCTTTTGAGCTGCCGTTGTTATGTGAACCAACTTGGTAGTTAAGTGAATTGCGCGGTCATTATGCAATCCGGCTTCTCCCCATTGACTCATCCGAAGCTGGCAGGGAAGGTCAAAAAAATGGCATTTGCATGATTTCGGGATGCTACAACTGTCGTAAGTACATGCCAGTGGCCAAGCGCCCGAATCTGGATCATGTGACCATGGAGAATGCTACGATGGACATAACTGTGAGGACTGGTCCCTTTTTTCCCCAGTTGTAACTTCGAAGGACGCTAAACGAATGAGATTGTAAGTCAAGGATAACTCTAAGGTTATTGAAACGACTCTCAGATGTGAATTGGCCTTTCCTTGTTTGTGATGGCAAAGCACTCTGCATTTGCTCAGGGGCCTTTTTTACTTCCCCCCCCCCCCCCCCCCCCCCCCCCCCCCCACTTCGGCTTCATGGCACTGGAGACAGACTAAAATCCTTTCCTGCAAAACAAAATCTTTGGAATTGCAAATTGGTTTTCTATCTGGTTTTCCTTTCTGGTTTTTATTTTCACGTCCAACCGAAGCAGCCGTAAGTCCTTGACTTAAACAGCCATCCGTTTAGTGACTGCTCACAATTACGATGGCATTTTTAAAAAGCGGCTTAGGACCATTTTCAGACTTAATGATGGTTGCAGCCTCCCTGGGGTCACTGTCATGCCCTTGTTAGAGTCCGACTCTGAGGGAGAGGAGGAACAGCCAACAGGGAGTGGAGGTGTGGCTCCGGAGGTTGTGGAGGAGGCTGGGGAAAGGCACAGGTCGGCTGGGCAGTAAGAGGAAGAACCAGGCCCATCCCCTCTTCATCTTAGGGCACGCAGGGAGGAACTTGGCTTACGAGAGAGGAAGCGGCCATGATCCCCCTCATTGGTTGCAGCTGGGGAGAATAGTATATAAGAGAGATGGTTAAAACACAGCATTGCCAGAACCAAAGCGTGTGTTATTTTGGGCTGAAGTTATCTTGGTTGGCATCCTTCCAACAGACTGTGCCTTGTTATCTCCTTGAAGTTGGTAATTACTTATCCTGGTCTGTTGTGGAATTTCCTTCATTGTAGTTTGTTTTGGTTTTTTATTTCACCTCCATCTGCTCATTAAGTTCGGACTGTATTGCTTTTTCTTTGAAGGCTATTTTTGAGTACGTTTTATCTCCAACTGAGAAGGATTGAACAGTGGGGCCAAGTTGGAGGCATTAAAGGACATTTATTTACGTTTTGGATTTTGTGACGTTTGTGTTACACACCGGGCCATCACAGTCACGCAATCTTCCCAAAAAGCACAGTCAATGGGGAAGCCCGGCTCACTTAACAAACCACTTAACTTCGCCACTGCAGTGATTCACTTGACAACGGTGGCGAGAACGGTCATAAAAGGGGGTCAAAATTCACTTAACAAGTGTCTCTCTTAGCAACACAAAATCTGGGGCTCCATGGTGGTTGTACCTGTATTGTAATGTTATTTACAGGCAGCTTACATGGTCCTCTCCCTCCCCTCCATATCCTAACAACAACCCTGCAGGATAGTTTAGGCCAGGGGTGTCCAACCTTGGCAACTTTAAGACTTGTGGACTTCAACTCCCAGAATTCCTCAGCCAGCTTTGGGAGTTGAAGTCCACAAGTCTTAAAGTTGCCAAGGTTGGACACCCCTGGTTTAGGCTAAGAGAGGGAGGGAGAGAGAGAGAAAGGCACACATTTCTGGTTTTCTCCAGAAAATCTGAGCAAAGGATATAATCTGATTTCCCCAGTTTGAATACAGCATTCCCACAATCACCCTGTTCTCAATATCTCCACTAAGAATGCAGTTCTGGGCTCATGGAAGACAAATTTTGGGGGGTTCCAATCTTGTTTCTGTTTTAGGAATTTGGACCCTCGGAGCTTTGATTCGGCCCCCTTTATTACCGTGTAAGTATTGGGGTCCTCTTGGGGGAATGCAGCTTTCAGCAGGGTGGCCAGGAAGATGCAGGAAATCAACTTCATTTTCACACCTGGGAGAAGAAGAACAAGCAATGAAAAAATTATTTAAAATCTAGTTCGATACCCGTGCTTTGGTATGAAACTATGTGGTTGGCTTAGTTTTTGGGGAGGAAAATAAAGGAGAAAACAATTCTGCCTCTGCCTATCAGCATCCATCGGTATTCATCCGGCTAGCGTCCTGTCAGTGTGTGAGAGTGTTGAGGGCTGTTTGGAAACTGAAAGAGTATTTGCTGTGCGAGCAAGAAAGAGACAGCAAGGAGCCTGGGCGTGGCTTAGCTCAACTGTTCTGTACTAAAGCTGCTTGGCGCTGTGAAAGTACCATTTGAAAGAGATTTCTTTCCAGGTGGGGAGGGAAGTAGAATTCCTTAGCATCAGAGCGTGCTAATAATAATAATACTATAGGAAATACTAATGCTCTGATGGTCATTTGGAAAAATGCTTTCTTAGTGAGCACCTAGTAGCCAAGAGGAACATAACGTGCCAAATTTCAAGTTTGTAGGCTTTACGGTTCTGGAGATTTTGTGATGATGCGTGAGTGGCATTTTGCTTTTATCTATATCTGTATCTATATCTATATCTATATCTATATCTATATCTATATCTATATCT